TAACAACAAAATGTTCTATAAACCAGAGTGACACGTGGAGAGTGAAGCCACGATGCTGGTCCACCACAAGTGTAAGCAGGGAAGGGAATAGATTGAATGTGGGGAATTTTAAAACAATAAGATGACTGACTAAAAGCAGCATTTTTAAATTATTGTCATTCATGAACAATTTAAACAATATTAATGATAAAATCCTTGTCTTTCCAGAGCTTTGTAGTTTATAGTGATCTAAGTTCTAAACAATTTCCCACAGATAGAATAGACTGCTCCCACTGCCCCACCCACTCCTGAGAAGATTCCGCTAAAACACTAAATAAAGGGCTAGGTTGTTAAGGTTACTCTTGCTTTTCAACTTATAAACTTTGAGTTATCGAAGTCGGTGCTTTTCAACTTTAATGTGCATATAAGCACCTGTGGTTTTGATATGCTATTTCTGATTTAGTTGGCCTGGGTAGGCAGGAACAAGATTCTGCGTTTCTAACAAGCTTGCTGCTGATGCTGCTGCTGCTGGTCCACGGACCACAGTTTGAGTAGTCAGGGTCTGGAAGACGTTCACTAGGAACGTTAGTTGAGTAGCCATTTAAAACTTTCAAAAAGCAATGAAAAAAAAGGGTACCAATATTCTCACAGCTCCTTAACTTTTTGAATGGAAATGTCTGTTATCTTATTGCTAGTTCTTTCAAAACCAGCATGCTAATCTAATATTTTGCACTTGACTGCATTGATATATGAGATTTTTCTTTAGTTCCCAGTTTTATATATGTATATCTATCTATATATATAAAGAGAAACAGAGACAGAGACAAGGAGAGACAGAGAGAGATTTGAGATTTACTTACTTAGCAAATTCCAAGTGTACAATACCATATTTTAATTATAGTCACCATGTTGTGTATTAGATTCTCATGTTGTTACTGAGAGTGTAGACTCTTTGACCAACTCCCCATTTCCCCCATCTTCCAGACTGTTAACCACCAGTCTACTCTATTTCTATGAGCTCCTTTTTTAGATTCCACATATAAATGAATTCATAAAGTATTTGGCTTCGTCTGGTTTATTTCACTTAGCATAGTGCCTTCAGGGTCCATCCATGTTGTCACAAATGGCAGAATTCCCTTCCTTTTCATGGTGGCAGAATAATATTTCAGTATATATATGTATACATGTCACATTTTCTTTATTCATTTATCCATCAATGGACAAATGGACACTTAGATTCTTAGGTTGTTTCTATGCTTTAGCTATTGTGAATAATATTGTAATGAACATGGGAATACAAATGTCTCTTTGAACTACTGTTTCTATTCCCTTCAGATGTATAATGACAAGTAAGAGTGCTGGATCATATTTATAGTTCTCTTTATAGTTTTTAAGGAACTTCCATGTTGTTTTCTATGATGGCTGTACCAATTTACCTTCCCATCAACACTGGACAAAAGTTCCTTTTTCTCCACATCCTCACCAACACTTGTTATCTCTTTTTTTTTTTTTTTTGGTAAAGGTAATTCTTAGGTGATGTCTAATTGTGGTTTTAGTTTGCATTTCCCTAATGATTAGTGATGTTGAGCATCTTTTCATGTGCCTGTTGACCTTCTGGATGTCTTCTTGGAGAAATGTCTCTTCAGATGCTCTGCCCATTTTTTAATAAGAGTTGTTTGTTTTTTGCTGTTGAGTTGTATGAGTTCCTCATATATTTTAGATATTAATCCCTTACCAGATACGTGGTTTGCAAATATTTTTTTCCCATTCCCAAGGTGTTAGTAAGAAAATAATAAGGCAGAGAAATACATTTACAGTACTGTACTGTGTTTATCCATACCATAAGTTTATGTCATCTGTTTATATATCTGTTATATATATGAATCGTCTGTCAGTACATATATCAATATTGTCTTATATGATACAAAACACTGCACATGTTATACATATTACTGACACTAGATATCAAAAATGGAAAGATAATATGAAAAAGAAATTAATATTTATTCACAGATATGACAGTTCATGCACTGATAACAAAGAATTAGCAATGATCGCTTTATAGTAGCCTAGCATAATCAATAGGATTGTTTCATGGTAGCCTAGCCTATACACTAATGAATGAATCATTATAAAATTTTTATGGGATACAGTATTACAGTTGTATTTATGATACAGAATTGGAAACATTGTTGCATTAAAAAAACTTAACCTACAATGATAGGCTGATAAATAGTTTCTCCATTGATGAGAGAGAGGCATACAGTACAGTACAGTAGTGTAACTCTTTGAAAGCAAGGCTAGAAAACTAAGAAAACTAACACGTTATTAATCTTATATTAAGTGTCACTCACTCGCCTTGTGCCTATGTAAGGATAGGCTATCCACCTCAATAAAAGTCTCGCACAAGATGTTTTACACGTATATTTTTGTATACTTATTGAAAAAAAATCCATGAATAAGTGGACTTGCACAGTTTAAATCTATGTTGTTTAACTTACAGGGTCCACTATAAATAGTGACATGATCGAATACATATTTGAGCAGGATCACCCAGGCTGCTCTTTAGGTTGGATTGTTGGGGAGTAGGGAATTCCAGGAAGATGTCATTACAATATTCCAGGCAAAAGAGACCTCTTAAGAGGATTCTGCTATTGTTGCTATCCTGAGAATGTTTCCTTTGTTATTAATTTTTCCAACAGTAAAGAGAATATTTGCAAGCTCTACATTTTTTTTTTGGTCATCCCAAGCAAGAGATATAATTGGATGACAGATCTTCACATGTCTCACCTCTATCAATGAGGAAAAGAAAATTAAACTTAGGAATCTTTCTCCAATGAAGGAAATTATGTATTGGTGCTATCAAAAGAGTAGCACTCTATTAAATATGCAACTTTTGACAAGTAACATTTGCAACAAATAATGAATGTTTCTGACACATTAATTATGAAAAACTATTGAGTATTCTGTAGGATTTAAAAACTATTTATATAGCAAAAATATACAAAAATAAAATTTGAAGTCAGGTTTATAATCTTTAACTCTGTTGTAATATGGAAGCCAAGGCTCCTCTTTGTACCTTAGCCTGGTCTGCCACACAGAGAAAAACGATACATGGGCTATCTGTACTTTTGCACAAAGATGTAGTATTAACAAAAATAAAATATATGCAGATTTACTTTAGGAAGTTGATAGAAGAATTTACATGTAAAATGTTGATAAAATATATGACTAAATCAATCTAAGTTACCATTCATTTTTCCACTTAGTGTATTTTTCAACCATAATGGAGAATCTGCTGTATGTTAGCCATTGCATTGTGTATATGCAAATAGAAATGAATAATTTATCCAAAGAACTAGTTGGCAAAGATAGCAAACAGAGATTCATAATACAGCAATAATAGCAATAGTAATATTAAGCCTGGGGTGCTGATAGACCATGTGGTAACAGTACCTAATCTAAGTGCAGTATTAAGAAAGACTTCTCTGACTTGAAAAATACAGGATCTAGTCTGAGCAATAAGTAAGAACAGGGTGTAAGAAAGTGATAACCAGGGCATTTTAGGCTGAGCAAGCAACATGTATAATGCATAAAATCACGTGAGGTCAGGGAAGCACACTGAAGTATAGGGTGGAGGAGCATTTTGATGAGTATAGAGCTGGAGACACAGGCAAAGGTAGTTTCAGTAGTCTTATGTGTCATCACGAGAGGCTTGAGCTTCCTACTGGAAATAATCAAGAAACACTGGTGATGTGAGTGTGTATCGGGCAGTGTGTGAGATTACCTGTGGGGATACCAGGAAGCTCTGTAAGAAACTGAAACAAATAATAGTGGTAGCTTGAACTGAAGCATTATCATGCAGATAAAGAGCAATACTGAATTCGTGAGGTAGCAAAAGTGACAGAATTTGAGGATTAGATGTAAAGGAGAGGAAATGGCACACAGAAATCTTTTTGTCTGCAAATAACAGAAAATGCAACTCACAGTTTAAAGAAATAAGAGTTTCTTCTCCACACGTGATATGCCTGGCAGTAAGGTTTGCAGAAGCTCAGCTGTCTTTAGGGACCCAGTTGTCCCTAGTCTTCTGCTCCATGACCCTTGACATGCTTCCTTTTTGCTCTTGCATGTGGCTTCATAGTCGTATGCCTACTCTGTTCTAGGCTCACGTCAACCTT